AGAAGCATGTTTTGATATGTGCTACAAATCCAGATACTTTCAATTGTCGTCAGTAAGATATCCAAAAATTAATTTTGACCACGTGTAAGAAATGGGCTACGTCTTCCTCCTCTTCAAGGGTGGCCGGAAATTCTCCCAAAATCAGTCTGAAGTATCAAACATTCCTTCGATAGTAGAAATCTGCCGAGCGAATGGCGAAGGGCTAACGCTCGAACCGTCAGCTTTAAAAATCTTTCCGGGGGCCAATTTACACTATCGACTTAGTTAATAAAAATCAACTTATCTTATTGCACTTCCCCAACGAAGCAGCACCACATTTTCTTTAGAAACTTAACCCATTTATTCATAACTTATCAGCAGCCCTGTATAGACTATTTGCATGACTTCAACTATGACCTTGTAAATCATAAAACGATGGTCGTGGTGTAACTAGAAACAGAAAATGACGAGGGCGGGGTGAAATTTTTTTTGATATCGTACCAATGGCGTTAAACAGCGAGTTTTAAGATTACTCTTGTGTTTAAATAATTGTGAAACTTGTGAAGAAAAGGAGAATCTCTTAGAACTGTCAAACTTTCAAAGTGTTCTAACATCACGCACTTGACGGCCATTAGCCTGTAAAATGAAAATTTTTACAAATTTCATCATTCTCTCTTTATATCTGTTATTGATATTACAAAACGTGGTTATATTCATGATTGACGTGGTTACGTGATGGTAGCGTCAAACAAAGGGCCCCTTGGTTTAGATGTATTAAGGCAGAGGTCAAACATCGGCGCATGCGGAAGCAGATCAATTTTGGCTGACCGCGCGACAACTTCAGCCCGGAAGAAATGATTAATGTCAAGTGAAACATGCAAAAACTAAATTGAAATGTTCATAAAAATCCACCAAAGGAAAAAAAGGAGAAAGAGGAAAACTTGAGATTTTTTTAACTCAGGGCTGATTTAATGGCAGGTATCCTGCTGATTTTGCATTTTGTTATGAGCTTCATCTAAAAATTTATACTGTTTTAATACACCGTGACTTACTGGCTTGCGTGGTTGTTAACATCTCCCATAAGTCAACTTGGCTCTGACCGACTGAAAGCACACACCCTTGTCATTACAAAGTTAGCACCTGTGTAGGCTACTGTGTTGCTTGTTATTATCAAGAGTTGCGTGGTCTCAATAACCAGCCGCTGTTCGAAAAATGAGCCCCTCTTCTCGTGAAGGGCAAATACCGGACTCGAGGGAGCAATGGAATTCTAGCCTTGAGTTACTGCGCTTGACAACACAGCATTTTCGTAGAATATTGTTGTGAATCAATGTCTTAAAACGTCACGATGTTTTATAAGTCGCAATCACTCCTTTTACGAACTATCCTGAAATAATTGCTCTCAGCAGTCAAGTACTTTGAAGAGGCGTCAGAGCAGTTTGAAATATCGGATCATCAACTTACTCCAAGCCAAGCACGTAATCGTATTTAAATCACTGCTACTTCCTTTCAACTATCTTCAAAGTTCCTGTTGTTTTTTTTCCCTTTTAGGTACTGACATTAGTTTTAACATTTGTTCTGATCAGGTTTTCCAAGTTTGAGAGATCATGGCCTTATTTTTTCATCAGTTAATGCTCCTGGTGTTCTTAGTGAGTATTCCTATTAATTCTACCTATATTACAATAAATAATTCAAAATACGGAATATAATGTGTAAGTACAGGTAATCAGGTTTAAAAAAAATCCTCATTAGGAAGCCAGTTCTGTTTCTTGAGAAAAACTTTTGATTTCTCTAGAATAACTTCTGGCTGGAGGGTCTTCGCATTTTGATGTTGTCAGTTCACATCTGCTAATGTTTGATTTCTATCATTTTTCTCACAGAGTACTAAATATCCTCACGTTTCAGGCGCGTCGCTAGGTATGTAAAAACATGTGGTAGTGTACTTTAAACAAAAGTAAAGCAAAGACAAGCGCTGTTCAACTGTTTAACCGAGAAAGTTGCTTTTTGCCATCAATTTTCACAAAATATTTCTCTGTCTTTACGGGCAAAGACCAACGGTAAATGGAAAAATGACTTTCTACCGTAGTTAATTCTTTACGAACTGCTAAAACTCATTATTTTATACCTTAAAATTCCTATTTAAAAATGAGAGCATTCAATATTCTCTTGTTGTCTCGTTGAACGTGAATTCAATCATCATGACAAATCTATTTTTACAGATTGCTTTAAGAATCCTGTTGGTGTTGCTGATCCCAGAATAATCCCTGATAATCGGATAACATCATCTTCCCAATCACGACGGTCTGTACCGGGCGGCCTATGGTCGACTCAACGGTTACAGAGGCGGTGGTTGGTGTTCGCATAAGACTGACAGTGACAGTGAATGGCTTCAAGTTGACATCGGAGAAATAATTCAAGCATGCGGGGTTGCTATCCAAGGAGAAAGAGGAACACGTCGCCAAAGTGGATTAAAGCTTTCAAACTGTCCTATTCCTTAGATGAATCAAACTGGGAAACCTACCGGGATGAAAGTGGTGAAGAAATGGTAAGAATTCCATTGTAATGCATGAAAAGAAGTTTTTGATTTCAATTTCGTCGTTGGGAAAAATTTGAAAATTTTGTTTAAACGTATTTGTCGTTGCTTTCCTCAAAGGCTTTCCTCGTAGGCTTATAAAGGGGGATTACAATATTACAAAATTTAATTCATTTATACAGGCTCATACACAAACACACACCCACACAAAAACAACACACAAATTGCAATAACAACGAATTAAACTTACATAGCTTGAGACATATTATTTAAACAATCAGGCAATGGTCACAGGAAAGCGATTTGTATTAATTATGATACTTTATACCTCGCAAAAAAGCACTATTGACATTGTATTTTTTTCCGTTCTTTCGCGTTTGGAAACAAGTATTTTTGGAAGTATTTTTTCCTTTCAAAAAAACTTATGTTCCATTTATTACATTATTGTTTCAAAGGAATTTCAGAGTATAGGTTACGGTCCTTCAATCGCTCAGCACAAGTTACCACTGCCAGTGTATGCAAGATACTTTCGATTTTATCCAATCCAGCGTCATAGAAGGACCTGCCTTAGGGTTGAGATTTTCAAACAAAAATGTGAGTTCATAATGCAATAGTAATTAAAATATGATTACTTTTCTGGTATCAGGAAACAGGTTCCTGGGTGTGGCCGAGATAATCATTAAACATTCAGTGTAGTACATTCTCAAATTAACAACAAGTTCATGCGTCAGCGTACGTTCATCGATGTAAAAAGCACGCGGGACGTCGGGATATGAAGCCCGCACGAGTTTTAAGAAGCTACAGTTGTTCTCGGCTGCGCCTCCAGAAACTCTTACGCATCTTTCGTGCTCCAAATCGACTTTCCTTTAGCATATTTACATGAACTTCTCATTTTAAGCTCCTAAAGGTTTATATCAATCGTGCTTCAACGGAAAAGCTGATTAAAGGCGACTGGCCCACTGCAAAAGGCTCTCTAGAAATTTTCAAAATGTTAGTCTTGCAACTGATCAATACGACATTGACAGAATAGATAAGTTTTGAACCAAGTTATCCTTGTATCCGTATTACTCTTGACAAAAGAAGATGCCTCATCCTCTTTTGTTATCAATGAATTCATCTGATAAGTAACTTTCAACAGTCAGCTTAATAGGCAAAGGGGTTTGACTGTATCAGGATTTGGATAAAGGTTGAATAATGCTTCTTTATTTGCAGTTCCAGGATGTCAGTACATCGACGTAGGACTAGGCAATGGATACACCCTGGATAGAGATTTCAGTTCGTCCTCTGTACTAAATGCAAACACACCTGCTAAGAATGGTCGATTGAACTACAATGGAGGATCATCATGGTGTGCCGCAACAAATGATAGTCAGCCATATCTACAGGTTGACTTTGAAAAGCTTTATATCATCTGTGCTGTTTCAACTCAGGGGAACTCCCAAGGAGACGAGTGGGTAAGGAAGTACACACTTCAGTCATCTAGGGATGGAACAAATTGGACAGACTATCAAGAGGCGGGAATATTGAAGGTTTGTCACCTTCAGAAACCTAATAAATAATAAAAGAGTATAATTCCTGGTTAAAAAATTTACTGTCATCATTACGATAGAGAGGTTGTTCAAGTTATCCAAGCGCACGATATAAGTGCTTGAATAACCTGGTTAAACATAATGGGAGTCAAAGGAAAAAACACGAACAAGGTAAACCAAGCTATTCTATATAGACTTGAGCAAAAGTAACGGCGAGAAACTTTAGAACGTATTTAGAGTAGTATTTGTGATGAGAGGTCTGCATCTGAGGTAAGGAAAAACGATCTTAACAGCGATTCTGTTAATCAAAAGGATCTCATTGCCCCATTTGACTGACATCGAAAGTTAGCTTTAGTTCTTAGATGCATTGCCTCTTTTTAACTGGGAATAAAACTGGAATATGGTCTCACGCTTTGTGTTATGACAAAAAAAAAGAAAAAGATGTTTTTTCGTCTTGTCACGAGCGTGAGACAAAGAAAACAATCTGAGTTCCTGCATGACACGCGTCCTGTATACTGCTAGGATCAGCAATGTCTATAGCGACATGTTTTGCAAGGCAATGTATGTTTTTTCTTGGGGGTGGGGAGGACTGGAGCCTCAAAGGGGAGGGTCATTAGTGAATGTTAGCGCCAAAAAGGAGAGTGTCATACCTCTTTGTAAGCTATTAGAGGGGAGGATCACACACCTTTTCCAGAATTTTTTAATGAGATTTTTGTGATGTTGCTGTCCATTTTTCTTACAGATAAAGTTCTTCTTTTCCCCTACTTTGATTTTATTAGGTGTTTTATTACAGGTTCTAGGTTATATATCTACATGTATATTATCCCATGGCACATAGTTTTCTCGGCGAACTCGTGTCCTTTGCTGTCCGTATCGAGACGTACTAGACGTACTAGGTATCGTTTCTTCAGCTTCTTGCTCCAGTTGACTATCCGCTGCTTGATCTCCTGAGTAATTTAGTTCTGAAGAGTTACTAGTAGATCCCACCATGCGCTCTACCCTGTCACTGTCACTGTCAGACTCTGAATTTGAGTCAGAGGCTGGCTGAATGTTGTTCTGACTGTCCTGCACAATAGAAGTCAAAATCTTGCTGCCAATATGTGCCTTCACACCCTCACTTTCTAATGTTTCTTTCCTTTAAATGCAATATTGTGGTGATTAATACAAAGTTCAAGTTCACCTACACTTAAGGGGTGACAACTGGTTTCAGTGATAGAGATCTTCCCGGTCCACGTCATTGTATTCCGGCCTGTTGCTTTCTTTCTGCATGCTTCCTGTCATTATCTGTTTCCTGCTTATCTTTTCTCATTTCAATGTCAGTTAGATGCTCAATATAATCTGCAACAAGCATTTGATTGCCTTTTATCCCCTGCTTTGAGCTTACCTTCTTGAAATATCTGTTTTATTTGAGCTCAAGGCTTATAATCATCAGGTTTGCGACCACTCGTAGGTGTTTTCGTACTTGGTATGTAGTGAAAGTCGGGAAGTTTGATGTATTCGGGATAGGGTCGTGGAGTTGGTGTAGCTGGAGAAGGACTCACAAAGTTTTAAAGTTTATACTTCCCTGTTCAAACTTCAGCTATAAAACGTAAATATCTCACACTGATTGTTCACATTTTCTTGTTTCAGCTCGCACACATTCAATATCGAGATATATTTAATTTCAAACATTTTGCGTTCACGAGCGAAATGTTCTGAGGTGTCTACGGCGTGGAACATACCATGTAGTAGTGAGGGGAGGGTCGCACTTTTGTCAGTCTCCTAAAGGTGGGGGGTCAGGAGTTTTTTTAAATTAAAATGCAAGGGAGGGCCAACACTTTTTTTCAGAAAAAAAATACCAAAATTCCCCCCAAGAAAAAACGTACCTTTCTTAAATAGAATAAGAAAGATGGTAAGTTCTGAGCCCGGTAAAGAAATAGAGAAAGTTGTTATTTCGTCTTGTCACGAGCGTGGGACAAAGAAAACATTCTGAGTCCCCATAAGGAATCGAACCTCAGACCTTCGGATTCCGTGCTCCGATGCTCTACCCCAGAGCCGCAGAGACTCTATGGTGAGCAAGGCCTATTACAAAGTTCATATATGACACGCGTCCTGCATACTGCTAAGATCAGCAATGTCGATAGCGTCATGCTTCGTAAATAGAATAAGAAAGATGATAACCTTCGTTTGGGTGAGGGAAACTTTTCAAGGGGTAGGTAAAGGTATAACGTCAATTTCTTTATTTACCTCTGGCGGTCTGCTTACAATGCGCAAATCACGTTTGATATTTGATATTTCTTGCATCTACAGGTTTTCTCAGGAAATTTCAACCGAAATAAAACAGTAAAACAAATTTTGTGCAGTGAGCTTGTTGCTAAGCGTTTACGTTTCATTCCTAAAGAGCACTACGGAAACTGTTGTATGAGGGTTGAAATATATGGAATACCACTGACAGCAGGTAAAAAGCAACATACGTTTATAATGATAAAAGGGCTTCCTAGCGACAGCGCCTTGGGTACAAACCGGTTCCGGTTTTAAGAAAAAATCAGAAATAATAATACAAGATCACTGTATAGCTTAGAATTTAAAGATCGGTAACCTCGTTCTGTTGACTGAGGAACTAACTTAACCATTCATTTTTTATAGTACAGGCATTGAAAGACCATTTGGACTGACTTCACCCATAATTATTGAGTTTACCAATACACGTTATATTGTTTGAAAATGTCCACAAGACCTAACAATAATACCAGCTCGAACTCGCTCGAGCAAGACTTTGCCAGTGAGAAAATCCCAAATAAACCTCGGTCAGTGCGGGAAAACCTTCAAATAAACAACCTATGATTTTTTTTAATTTTTTTTTTCTTTTCTCTTTTTTGATAACTAGAGACAATACGTTACAATGAAGGGGAACGAAAAGTTAGCAAAAACTGCAAATCCAACCACTTCAAAAATCCAATAGCAAATAATCTTGTAAAATCTTGTGCTTTTTTCGTATAATTCAGTGACATCACGTGACAGCTTGACAGCAGCCACTCTTAACACAAAAATTAAAAAAAAAAGGTGTGACGCTAGTGCCATGCTCTTCCTGGACATTTGGGGGAAAAAGAGCATGTCCCTTTTTTTAGCATCTTTCAATTCTGCGCATCTTCCGATACTCTTAGATACTTAATAATAAACCTGCTTGTATTTTCAGATAATCTTGCCTTAGAAAAGCCAGCCTTTCAGTCGAGTTATTTTTATGATGCTATGGATGGGAATTATCCAAGAAAAGCAGTGGACGGAGTAAAGAATACAAACAGATACCATTGTGCAAACACAGCAAGTTCGTTTCCTGATGCGTTTTGGACCGTCGACCTTGAACAAGTGCTGCCTGTTTCAGAGGTTTTCATACTTAATAGTGGAGACTGTTGTGGGGAACGTTTAAACGGTGCCGAGATAAGAGTAGGTAAGTACTCAAAATAGGGATAGCCCATTTTCCCACGTCCCACGGATTAGAGATTAGCGCGCAGACCTCTACTTCGGTTGGCGAAAGGTATACAGTCTATGTGTTCGTCTATGTGGTCTTAGTGAAGAATGATTTTTCAAAGAAGTTGATTTTCGTATTACCTTGTACTATTACTTAAAGGAAATGAAACTAGAGATAGAGGAGGAACCAACGATCTTTGCACCAGTGATCTACGAGTCCCTCAAGGAAAGGGAAAGTTTTTTCGATGTAATACGACGCTGTACGGCAGATATTTATTTATCAGGATACCTGGATCGTCGAAACCGTTGGTCCTGTGTGAAGTTGAAGTTTTCTCCACAATCAGATCAAGTAAGAAAGTTTACATTTCACGTTGCAGAATATGAATCATACCTCTCATTCCTTTGTCATAAAACTCCTGATCATTTAATCAATTTTTTTAGGAAGACAGTCACAGTTGAAAACCCAATTGTGGGCATCTTCGGAATAAGACAGAAATTCTGACTTTAAAGAATGCTTTTCCATTAACGGATGATCCTGTCTATCAACCTTTTCTAACTCCGGGTCTTATAAACTGATTGGTCAGTTTTTCCGTAATGTAATTGGCTGTAAGACTCAAATGGCGTAAGACGGTCGTGATTGGTCGGTTTCGATCCGTTGGTAAAGTTAGGTCCTTCTGCTCGGTTCGTTTGTAATGTTAATGTCGTGAATAAGTCGTTTGCATGGTGCCGTTAGTAGTTGAGTCTGTTCCAAGTTAGTTCACCAGCTTTCCAAAGTCAGTCGTTGAAAGTAGTTAGAGCTGTAGGTTAGGCATTGCGCGGAGTCTTAACCAATAGTGTGGCTCGTAAGTCGATGATGTTCAGCAATGTGACTGTTGACATCACCTTTCCTCGTATAGAAATAAATATGGTACCGGGTGGAAGGACAGAATATCAAGCATAACTCTGATATTTCACAATGTCCAACAATTCGTGACTCTGAGTGTAGCGCCATGATTTATTTGTGAGATTCCCAACCTTGATCCGTTAAAAGCAGCGCTACAGAATAAATAAGTCATTTTCTTTGAATATTAAACTATAAACTCTTTGATAGCAAGTAATAAGGAGATCTCTGCGCTTAAAGTGAGTTGCCGTTCTTTTTGCTAGATCTTGCCTTGTATCAGTCTGCTTCTCAGTCTTCTACAAGGTCAAATTATACCGCTAACAAAGCCGTGGATGGAGATATTCACTCCTGTGCTACAACTCAGTCCCAGCAGGACCCCTGGTGGAGAGTGGACTTAGGAGCATCGCGGGTTGTGGCTAAGGTCATCGTTACATACAAAAATCAAATGGAAGGACTTCAAGTCTGGATTGGTGGGTTCAGGGAATCGTGAAAGAAAATTAAGTAATCATAGAGTTATTGTCATGAGAACCCGCTCTATAAAAGCCCTCCATAGATGTAGCTGTAAAACAGGGAAGAAGTAACATTAAAACAGGAGCCCCAAGAATGTATGTTTTGCTGACGGTTACTGTATGTCTTTTTCACGAAGAATTGAAAAATCAAAGAAATGCCTGATCCCCGATAAATTTGAACTTGGTACTTGGGGAGGAAAAATTTTAAAAAAGGCAATGCCAAGTGGATTGCAGGTTAAATAACAACGTGTTCTGTGTTCATGTCCAACAGGTTATGACAGTGACAAAAGAAGAAGTTCAAACTTGCTTTGTGGAGGAAAAACCCTTTCCAAAACATTTTTAAACATTTCTCAACGACTTACCATATATTGTCTACCCAGACTTGTCGGAAAATTTGTTTTTATTGAAGATTCAGGCGCTAACAGAACACTGTCCTTATGCGAGGTGCAGGTTTATTCCGAGAGAGAGACAAGCAATGGTAAGCAGCTGTCGTGACTACTTGTCTAATTTTCACTTTCACTGATAAGAGTTATTTCGTTCTATATGGAGAAAGATGTTAATCGTCTTGACACGAGCCTGAGACACAGCAAAACTCTGATTCCCCCACAAGGCATTGATCTTGATTCAAGCTGTTTCAAGCTGGTTCGAGGAAATAGGGAAGGGTTTAGTACAAATTTAAGTCGTAACGTTCTTTTTGGGAAAGCGAAGCATTTTACAACAAGGCAAAAAACATCCTTCTGACTCTTATCTCATCCCTTCTTTATACAGTGGAGCCTTTTCCCAACAGCAAAACTCGAGAGCGAGATAAGAGAAGAAAGGTGGCTGTTCTTAGTGGGGATACGGCTGTCGATAAGGATTCCAATTTATTATGTTTCCCCTTATCTGTTTTCTTTTCCTTTTGAAGCATGTCAGACACAGGCAGTTAATTTGGCCAACTCCAACATACACTCGGACAAACGTTTTACAGCCTCATCGTTTCTTGCGAACAATGAACCGTATAAAGCACGCCTCAGGAATACCTTAGGAGCCTGGTTACCTAGCAGTAACAACAATACTAACGATTACCTGGAAGTTGAGCTGGGAGATGTGTTCTTTATTTGCGCTGTAGCTACTCAAGGACATCCACTTCGAAGGCAGTGGACCAAAAGTTATAAGCTGCATTTGTTCCTAAGGAATTGGATCACCTATAAAGAGAACAACTCGGAAAAGGTTTGAAAAATAGTAAACTCGTTATAGAAATATTATATAGTTGCCTGAGTAAGATAGCCTCAAGTGTCCCAGTGGAGGGGTAATAACGAAAATTATTTCTTTCGATGTATCAACTAGTGTGCGGTTACATTTTTTTATTTGAAAAACTGTTTTTACAAGAGACCCAAAGGTGACATCAGCTCACTTTCAATTGGATCAAGTTTGTAAGGTGTCTTACTCCCAACGAACAAGAATCAAATCAGATTTGCAGTAGGTTATGGGAGAGAGAGAGAGAGAGAGAGAGAGCTAAATTTTGATATAAGTCCATGAATCTTTGATCCTAGTTCGAGAAGGAAAACTGAGTTTCAGTTAATTTCTAATAAAATTTTTCTATAGATTTTCAGCGGCGGTAGGGGCAGCCAGAATGAAATAGTGAAACAAGTTCTGGTAGAAGTGACAAGGGCTCGGATCATTCGGTTCCAGCCAGTTGACTATTATATTCACAAAGTTCTCAGAGTGGAAGTGTATGGAACAAAAACACCTGCAGGTGCGTCAGTGTAAAGGACCAGACCTATCAAATGTTTTACAACATTAACTATTCAGATTTATGTTTATTGATATCTAAGAATCAGAGTATGACAACTTTTCTTTTAAAAAGGAATTAAAGTGTGAAGAGTCTAAAAAATAGCTTTTAAAGAAGGCAAGAAGTAGAACAAATGCGCTACCTTAACTCCACAAAATGGTGACCTTTTTCCATAAAAAAATGAATTACTCCTTATGAGATTGTGCCATGCTGCTTGGGTAAAATCACCTCATATTTCATTATGTGAACATGTAGACAGTGATTTTCCCTTACGGAATGTAAGTGTTACTCCCTTGAACGTGAACACGATAAGGTAAGGTGGACGACAGGGTTCTGGGGCAAGGCGGGAGAAAAGTACTTTGCACTGTTCCATTGTTCAAACCTTGCGTCAGCCAGCCCAGTAACTTAGCTGCTGATTGGACAATTCATAATTTATACTCCATGAGCAACTTTTTGACAAGTCAATTAATAAAGCTCCAATTCAGTATCTCACTATAGCCACAGATGATACAATTAAGCTCGAAAACTTGAGAAAATCATCAGGTTAAAAGTATAAAATACAAAAAGCGTGATGAAAATGTCTTGAGACTGTAATATATGTTGTCTTAACTCCGTGGTCGTGTTCTTCACAGCTTCTCCTGTTCACCCCGTCATTAAAAACAAAGAGAAGGAAATATTTCACAACTCTTCCATAAAGTGGAATTCTCCCGATGCCAATGGCTGCCCAGTGAGTATGTTCTCAGTGTACTACAAAGCTATCAAATCACGAAATGAAGAAAGCGCTTGGCATCATATCAATACATCGTCGGATGCAAATGAGCTGAGCTGCAGTAGTCTCCCACTTGAATGTGGCACAGATTATGAATTCAAAGTGTCTGCATGGAATGACGTGGGAGAAAGTAACTTCTCAGAGTCCTGGCAAGTGAAATCCATCACAGGTATAGCAGTAGTATTTCTCTATCTATATTTTTCCTAAAACCATGTAGAAATTGTTGGCAAAATTGGGAATCCTTCTGTGATAGAGGGCCAGACTGCTAACATCTTGACTTCGTGGTCGAGACTTTGAGCGCGATGCTCGACGAGTTCGCGTGAAATTTACGAAAAGTATTTGACGAGTCTCTTGGCCGAGAAGAAACGCCACGTCATACCAACCAAGTTTTTTCCACAATTATTTGACACTTATTGCATTGTATAAATTAAAAAACAAAGAAGAACAAAAAAGAAAACAATTACACAAGCATGGCCTCGCACAAGTGGAAAGCACGAGTGATTGTGAAAAACTTTACAGGAGTCGATTGTCAGCTAAACTATAACTCCACTGCTGGTTATCAGATTCCACGAGCCTCAATACAAAAGAGAATGGTATGGAGAACTCTGTGTTGTGCCGATTTATTCTCTTCCTTAAGATTCTTTCTCATGATCATCATTACGTTTCCTGACCCATCCCTTGTAACTCACACTCGAGATTTACTTACTCCCTTTGTTTGCTGGGTTAATTTTTGTTTGTTTGTTTGTTTTTTTCCTATATTCATTTCAATTTTGTTTTCCTAAGGGTACCCAGCCATTGTCAACAGGACTAACCAAGTGAATGGAAGTGTTGTGGTTGTCCGTTGGAAGCCGTGTACTGCTTCTTTATTCACTATATATCACAGAGAAATGCTTTCAGAGGGCAAAAGTCATTGGAAAGCAGTAAACGTGTCGAGGCATGAAACAAGTTATGATCTCCATCTTGGATGCCAAAAGGAGCATGAAATAGCTGTAACAGCCTGGAACTCTTCAGCAGAGACTCCACTTACATCAATATTAAAGCACGGCCGACTTTGGAGAGTGAGAACGTTTGGAGGTGAGAACACTGAGTAATTTTCAGTAAAAAAAATTTCGCAAAAAAGAAAAGTTTGTCAATAAAATATCATATCAACCAGTATTTCAACAGTTCATTGGCTTCGTTTGATTTCCTAGCTTTGTCTTCGAAGGCTGCATGTAATGGGATACACGTTATTTAGTTGTTAACAGTACACAACCAGAGTAGATAGTTTTGCTTCTTACAACGTTGTACGTGGTTTGGCGAAGCAAACTGGTTAAATTCGAGACCACAAGAAAACGTTTCGGCGGTTTCCCTAAACAATAGAGAACTTATCTTTTAGTTTGAACGCAACGATCATCCGCATGGCCGGAGGCCGACTTGTGACTGCTATTCAGTTCATACATGTTTCTTTTGAGTACGTTTTGTTAATCTAAAATGTTTTGACCATGATTTCAATCATTTGCTGTTCGAACTTCAAACTCCAAAGCGTCGAATTCGCCGTAGCCTCCTGGAAAACTTATCATTTTAGCAATAGTCACAAAAAGACAAAGTTCACATGCTAACTTATGTTTACCATTACTATTACTGACGTGCTTATGCTCCTCTCTAAGATAGTCAGTCACGAAATATTCTATTTTGTGACAAGTGGCTCAGGTGCACAAAACCCTCTGAGATTCCGGCTTTGGTTAAACGAGAACTAACCACCGACGTGTTTTGTTGTAGATCGTGGGATTATTTTCTGTTACTGAAAATTTCATGCACGTGTGACAATGATGTTTTCTTGATTCCTATATATTATGTAGCAACTGATTCCACACTGTTAATTTGACGCGGAAGAGATAAAGTTCCAACAGCAATGATTTAATTCAAGGTCAAGGAATTTTGGCACACTTACGCGAACTTACAAGAATCCCTCGCTTTCGGCAAATGAAAGTCAGCGTAGGGGTCAGGTGCGGATGCACATTGCGTTTTATGAATGCTCCGTAGCAAAGCCTTTATTTATCGTTATTGCTTCAGATAAACCGTCTCCTCCGATTATAAAAAGCAAAGAAGTTCAGATGTCTGGATGTGATGTGAATCTCAAGTGGGGTTCTACACAAGACAACGGCTGTCCGCTGACCATGTATACAGTATATTACAGAGAGGTGCAATCTTTGGGTGAAGATGAGTACTGGCATCACATCAATGTTACCATGGACTCTACTTCAACGAATCTCACGTCGCTCAATTGTAACTCTGAGTACACTTTTAAAGTGACTGCTTGGAATGAACTGGGAGAAAGTAATACCTCAAAAGAATGGCGTATAAAAACTGCTCAGATCACTGACATTTCTCGCGGACGAACCCTCAGCATTGCTGTATTTGTAGGATGTGGGCTATTTATTCTCTTAACTGTTGGAATCCTTTGCTTCATGATCAGACAAAGGAGAAAAAAGAGGAAAATTCGAGGCCACAAAACAAGAAGGTTGGAAAACGTTTTATTCTAGAAATGTGTTAGCTAACCCAATCCCAAACTGTAAAATGTTGTTAATTATCATATTCCAGAGAACTTCTGCTTCCGTGAGTGAATGTGTTTCTCCCGTACATCTTTACATATGTTAATTAACATGCATTTGATCATAGAGCCCGTCCTCTAACAAACTATCTATCCCTCAATGCTTCGTATACGAGTATGTGTGAAATCTTGATGAACAAAAGAGAAAAGACTCTTCAATGCTTTATTAGATCGATGTCAGACATTGTCCCCTTGCTGTTAAAAGAGATTCCCCCGGAACGTGTAACCATTATGGAAGAGCTGGGTCGAGGCGCCTTTGGTAAAGTACACAAAGGAATCTTAAAAGAAATGCCGAAGGTTGAAGTGTTTTTCAAGCCCAAAGAAGAAAGAGAGGATCATATTAAAGAAGGAAGAGTTGTCGCCGTAAAACTCTTACATGGTAAGGAATTACTGCATGATATATTCGCTTTTTCGGTTATGCGAGCCTTTTGAAAAAAATAACGATGAAAAGGTTAGTGACTCAGAAATTCATAGTTATAGGATCTATTTTATTCAATCCTTTACTTGAGACAAGAAAACTGAAAGAAAGAAGAAATTACCGAACGTTATTCTGTCAAACACGTCGAGTGCCGACCGTAATCACTGATGAAATACACTTCCACATGGCTAATCACGAGAAACCAGTCTCTAAAAGTATGACAGCTTTTTCTCTACACTTGCTGGGCTTTATCCTCGTGGATCTTTCGTGTTTAAACATTCCACAGTTTGGTAACGTGTTTTCTTCAGAGGCTTTCGACTTCTGTGATCGTCGTGACCGTTCAGACCAAATTACACAGAATGATCCGTCCGTCAGTGACTTAAATTCTACTTCCCAGCCGGTCATTCGAAAAGGAAATATCTTGCCAAAATCGTTGTAGGAGGTTCTACGAAAATTGAGTCGAGCGTATGAGTCGCCAGTTATTATGAAATAATTTACTGATCAACGTAGTGAAATATTTGTGAACATGCATCACTCCATCGTCATTTAGCGAATATAAGCTTTATTTAGTTAAATCGAGGACTTAAATTCGCTGTATTTTATCATATTCCGATTTCAGAAAGAGCTGGTGAGGAAGGGCAAGAGCAGTTTGTCAGAGAAATTTCGTTTATGCAGCGAGTTGGTACTCACAGGAATGTGCTAAGCATGATTGGTTACTGGGACAGATCAGAGCCAATCATGCTAATCCTGGAATATGTTCCACATGGAGATCTTCTGCAGTGGCTGAGGAACAAAAGGCAACAGGTAAAAATATTTTGTTCCTTAAAAACCAGGATACACTGGAGAGATCACTGATCCATCGCTAAGCACAAATACCGTCCGAAAAAAGTCGGAAAGGTGATCTAATTCGTAAGTCTACTTGAGGTACCAAGTACAAATACCACCTAGGTTGTGAGGGGATGCTGATGATACATTTCACCGTTTTTTTCCGTTAACAGAGTTTCCAAAACGCTGTTACAATTCGCTATCTCTGAATTTAGATGGGTCTAACAATTCAAAATTGTTTGACATATTTTGTCAGCTGTTTTGTTCTCGATAAGTGGAATTGTTCCAACGTCATCTTTCATTGATTTCAGGTAAAATGTAAAAACGGCATTGATGGCGTTGTTTTTGAATCTGTGGACGATTTATCAGACAGTAGTGCGAGTTCAAATGGAGCTGCCTCAACTGGTAAGTCAGAGGACGAAGGCTTTCACGATAGTAGAGAGAAACTCACGACTGTGCAGGAATTCAAAGAAGTCTCCGAAAAACAAGACTTCAGCGTCACGTCGGACATTTTAATTAATCTGGTAGAACAGCCATTTACAGACGAGAAAAGGAATGACACTGAAGAACTTGGCATAAAAATTTCCCAAACTGATTTTCTATCTGACCTCGAAGGAGAGACAAACTCACAGAGCCAACAGTCCAATGAACTGAGTTACATGGATGTGACTTTGCCCACTGTAAGTGCAAACACTGCATTGCCCTTTGTAAGTGCAAGCACCAGTTTGGAAGATTTTAACGCTGATTTTCGAACCAATAGTGGAAGCGGAGACGATTTGAACATCAAGAAGGCAGAGAATGAAAACGGAAATGAAGATAAAGGGAGAGAGGGAGTGAAATCATCGATTGATAAAGAGGGAACTATCGGCATTTCATTTAAAAGTGCCCGTTCCTTACCGCAGCCCCAGGAGAACATGGAGCGACAACTAGAAACAAGTGAAGCTGGTGAGAAGGCAGTTGACTTCACCGTTGAAGATGTACTTTGTTTTGCATGGCAGATAGCAAGAGGAATGGTAGGTGATTGAACTAAGTGAAATAAATGTTACGATCAGACACTTTCCAGGAGTGTAGGAATAATCGTGCTTACCTATTAACCCACCTTCGAGGAAAAGTTCTTTGCTATAAACTGGGGCAAAATCAATGAAATAGGGTAAGAAATTTAGATAAACGTTTGATTCTTGATACACAAACAATTCTATTCTAAACATTGGAAATAACGCTAAAACCGGCAGCTCTCTTATCGCAAAGTCATGAAAAAACTAATTAACCATGCCGTCGTAACTATCTATTTACTTTGTTCAGCAATTTTAACCTGATACAACCGGTTTGATTCAGACAGCAAGAACTGAGCTACCATGGGTTTACTGATGTTCTCCTTTTCCGCAATGGGAAACCATAAAAGAAAGGAAAGGATAGATGGCACATGGTTTGTAAGGACTTCATGTGTTTTGGTTTCTCTTTTGAATAGGAGTACTTAGCTGGTAAGGGATTTGTTCACCGTGACCTGGCAGCACGTAACATCCTTATTGGTGAAGACAGAGCTGTAAAGATTGCTGACTTTGGCCTGTTACGTCACACGTATGGGGATATTTATGAAATAAAGAACACGAGGAAACTTCCAATCAAATGGATGGCACCTGAGTCACTAGACAGTGGCGCATACACTTCTAAAAGTGACGTGTGAGTATTTAAAGTTTATAGAGCACTTATAGGGGGAGGGGGGGGTTCTCTCGACGTACATCTTTCACGTTTTATTCTGAGCTCAATATTTGTAAATGTAAGCAGTAACTAGCTCTCACATGTAAATGCATGTTCCTTACCAGAGCATCCTTCCCACTGGACTTATCAACCGCAGGGTAGTCAAATGCAGGGACATGATCGTCTGCATATTCTGTTCAAGCACCCTACAACTAGATTATTAATTGACGGTATACCTTAGTATTATTAACTGAGTTGATAACGTAAATTTACCACCGTAAATAATTGAAAAGCTGACATTTGGATTATTAGCCATTCGACTATCCCTCTCGACGAAGGGCTAACTCTCGAAACGTCACCTTAAAAACTCTCGACGGTAGTCAATTTACGTTATCAACTCAGCTGATAATACTTAGTCACCCTGTTATACTCTCCGACCGCAGCAACACAGTTTTTTCAGAAACTTACCCCCTTTAGTAATTGACAGTATCTGTCATCAGGCTTGCAAAGTAATTATTTATTTAATTATTTTCGTTCCCTTTTTTCGGTAGTTGGTCTTTTGGTGTACTTCTTTGGGAATTGTGCACAATGGGTGAGTAACAACACCTGATGTATCACAGCAAAAGTATCCAACCTCTTTTGTCACAATAAATACCCTGAGAGAAACCCTTACCTTTAACGCTTGTCTTTCAGTTATAGGTTCGTTTCAGCTGCCTAACTGAATTTTGCTATTTGTGCTGGACTATTTTTACTTCTGCTCAAGTAGTGTTCATTACTGCGAAGATTGCTTTCGTATTCACGTCTTTATCCGCAGTTCAAATATATGACTTTCACATATTCTCAGTCGTTTATGCTGGACTGTGTTACAAATAAATGTGCATGAGAGAGGGGAGAAAGAGCAAAAAAATGATTCAATCAACAACCCCCGACCCCGAGTAGCGTTGGATTGTGAATTTGAATCAAAGAGAAATAGACCTGCCTTTGGGAAAAAAAGGCTAGAAGCGACCTGGCCGCTGAGAAATATGTCACGTGGTATTTGACATCTGTATTATCTCAAACCTTTTATTAACGAGGGGTCTAAGACTTATCGAGGTTGTTATGAAAACAATTTTTCTAATAACTTTTTTTCCTTCTTCTGATTTAACCTGCATCCAAGGTGGCATCCCCTACCCTGGAATAAGCAACAGAGAGTTGTTAAGACTTCTTAAGTCAGGATATCGAATGGAAAAACCAGCCATTTGCTCTGATGAGCTGTAAGTTTAACAAATAATCTTTAATTGTTCCATGCAATTAACGTTAATTCAACACCAACTAAATCTTTTCGACTGAAGTTTTGCTTTTTGTCTATTTGACTGAGCGAATCTCTTTTGAAGTTATAGGTAAGGTCTCGCTGAGATATGCAGTTTAGCATCAATGATAATAGTAATCTAGATAATTCCATTTAGTTGAACAATTAAAAAAAAAAGCTGACAATTGTGACAGAGGAATTGAGATCAATGCCAGAAAATATAGTGTACCAGTATGAGAAACTCTACATGGAAACAAGTGCTTCAGGAAAACATTGATTTCAGGGATAGTTATTTCAGTGAATCACATTGTATACCTATCAAGCTAACCATAAAAGAAAAAAATAAGTACCAAGTCTTTTTTTCAAGAACATTTTGCCATTGTAACATCGAGATGGCCAGAATATTCAACAAGATGTGGTTTTCAAAACAATTATTAAGCGCATTTGGTGAAGACGCCTTTAAATTGCAATTTGTTTTAAAGCCCGAGGCGAACTTTATCATGTCTGCATTCTCCTTCCTGTGCTTGGTCGTCAGTGTCTGGTCCAACAGTAAACACTGAAGACCATAACTTCCACATAGCGCCAATGTCCCCGTTGACACCAGAATACTTTATATCTTATCAGATACGAGTTGATGTTAGACTGTTGGAGGGTAGACCCAGAGGAGAGACCATCATTTGAACAGCTGATGACAAGAATGGAAGAAATGATGACGAGGGACACTCCTTACTTTGATCTGAATGAAGACCATGAAAGCGATGCCTCTAACACTGAGACGACACCCGAAACTGACCAACCACATGCGTGATTAGTGTTTAGATGGACAACATTTTAAGGAATCTATAGTAACAGTGATAGAAAATAATTATAATTGATAGTAATATAAAATGTTCTCAAAAATTGCATCATTGATAAGAAAGGAAGAAAAGTTGTTAATAAAGGATGAAGTCCCCGAAAGGCAGCTTTAAAACAACAGAAGCTTAGTAACAGTAATAAAAAATAATTAATAGTATTATAAAATGTTCTCAAAAATTATATCATTGATGATTTCCTACCATGAGATTATAATCTCTTGTTTCGTACCTAACATAATTTCGTATCTTACATAACAGTTGTAATATTAGGAATATACTTTAATTCCAGGACTTGAAGGCTGTGGCACGAATGGTTTGCAGTGTTTGCCTACTACAAGTCAGAGTTTGATACAGCGTTTGGGTGTCGAGGATCTATGAGTGTTGCGAAAGCAACTATTCAAGTAAGTTCGATATTTCGGTGGTGCGAGTGAAATATAGATTGCGTACTAAGCTTACGAAAGAGATGCAGTTCATTTTATAAATCCAATATTATCAATATTGCGAACGATAGAAGGAATTATAACTCCAGTGGAATGCACACCGATTCTTGATGCGAGAGATCGCCACTACTGCCTAGAAATGTAATTCTCCGGATATGTGTCAGAACATCGCAATGTTTCATGATATCGATAAAAGGCGACAAAAACGCAGCTTGTTTTGGCTTTATTTTGACGTCGTATCAACAGCCGAGCGGTTATTATAGTGTAATTTTTCTATGTACAAAGATATTGTTTCTAAATATTTGCCGCCTGGATTCTTGTTATAAAAGGCAGCCAATGTGATACTTGAATGACTCTAAAATATTATTCATCAAAGCATTTTCAAATTCCGGACTCTCGACCACGCATTTGTCATGCTGTAACACGATTCTACTGTAGCTTTTTTTTCTATTGTTGTGTAATTTGAACCCATTCTGTAACGTTTTTCGGCATGTATTTTGTTTTTCTTAAATAAAAGATTTCCTATAACTAATCCGAGTAATTTCAACCAGCGAAATATTTATAATTACAACTGCCCTTGCGTTCGTGTTTACAGATCTGTTTCTTTGTGTATGGCTGCGTTTTTCTGTGTCTGTTAGTCACAAATTGCTTTTGAGAATTACGAGGTTTCTTAGAATGTAACTTCTATTACAAAAACAAACTTCAGTGGTAGACATGACATGATATATTTGATTTAGTCTTTAATATGTAGCCATGTAGGGGGAAAAATAAAGGAAAAAAGTTTTAAGTAGAGGTGGAACATAAGTGCAGAGTATAGAGATGCTGTAATAGTGTAAGAGGAAAAGACAGAAAGAAAGAAATTTGGGTAAATGTGGTTGAATACATATCAGAGCAGATGTTGTGTATGTATTGTTATGGCAATTTGAAAGTGGATTTGTTTCAATGATAGTTAAAGATAAAGGAAACTTTAGGGTTGCAAACTCCAAATGGTAGTCTTGTTGGTGGAAAATACTTCAGTCATTCAGTGTTATTCTTGGCTTAGCTTTGTAAACCAGGGTTTAGTCAGGGATGGGGTCGAGACATTTAGAAGCTTGCTCGTGGCTGACAAGGCCAAGATAAGACAAACAGTTATTGCCATGGACTGAGGCTGCAGTTTAAGGTTTATAGGTTATTTGGAGTGGGTCAGCTCTTTGTACATTCTCTTGTCTTTTAAAGTCGAGAAGATTGGTTAATTCATTTTCAGTCATCTTATGGACCGTTTCTCTTCATGATGCAAAGTTATTGCTTCTGTCATTCAATGTCAGTTGTCAGCAATGCAGGCACTGAACATTCAAATTTACCTTTTTTTAGCATTTAACGAGTTGACTCTAACCAAGGTTTTTCTTGAGTGTTATTTCTTCTTGAAATCAAAAAAGATAATTGCACCAGTTTAATGCAAAAAGATTATAACAAAAGAGGTGTTTATTGCATGATTATATCTACAGAAATTAATCAGCAGAAGTGCACCAGTTTAAAGCAAAAAGATAATAACAAAAGAGGTGTTTATTGCATGATTATATCTACAGAAATTAATCAGCAGAAGTGCACCAGTTTAAAGCAAAAAGATAATAACAAAAGAGGTGTTTATTGCATGATTATATCTACAGAAATTAATCAGCAGAAGTGTCCTCACTGATCCCTCAGAATAGAATGTTGCAGTTGATTGTTGTTGTGATACAATCACACCTATTTTTGGATCAACATGTTTTTTTGTCAATCTTTGTCTTTTGCTTTACCTCAGTTCTCATCTGTTCTATTTTTTAAATAACAATGTGGGGTTTGAAAATTTGTTTAATTTGCAAAAGTAAATGTATATTGAACACTTTGAGTTTACCTTTCTTTATGATGGACATGGAAAGAAAATGAAAAATTAGGAAACTTAGAGGACAAGGAAAAAATCTAATCAGTTATACCAAACACCTTCTGCACAAACATTGAGAAACTGATGATGTGTGCAGAGCGTGAGAAAATCCTTGTTTGTAATTAGTCGCTTGTGGTTACTGAATTATTAAATGGAATATCTTGTATATGAAGTGTCTATTCCTTTTTTTAACAGCCTCATGAGTTTGATGAATGCAGGTTTGATGTCAGTGTCAATGACTGTATGTATTATTTGAGGGCACCAGACATTGAAGAACGCCAGAAATGGGTTAATGGACTGGAAGCTGTAAAGGTAAGTTCAAGCATGTCATTTGTGGGTTAAGTCAATACATTTCATACAGACAGTAGTAAATGTGTATTGAATTTCGTGGTTTAGTTTTTGGTCAGAAATTATTTAGAACTACTTGAACTTCATTGGGTAAACATTAGATATTGTTCTTTCATTATTTTGAAGGTAAACTTGTGGAATCAGCTTCTGTTTATTTGTTTATGAAACTGCTTTGACCTTTTTTTAATTGTGTTATAATTTTTACACACAACTTTAAAAGCATTTTCTGATGTTTAAGATATGCTAATGAAAAGCTTTTCAGGTTTCTGTTGGTGTAAATGGTTCATGTTCAATAAACAATGGGGCTTTACAACATGAACAGATTTAGACAAGGTTCCAATTCAAGATAAAGTTTCGTTCAATTTGTCTTTGGAGAAATATTCAGGAAGAAAACTTCCCTTCCCCCTAACATTTCAAGCGGAGAAGATTAATTGTAGAACATGCTGCATTGTATATGAACCCTACAGTTCTAGGGCAAGCTGTTGTTTTCCAGCTAGATAGAACTACATTAATTCTAATTCATCAAGGCATACATCTGTAGAACTTTCCTTGTATACTGTGCTTGTAATTTATTCTAAACTTACCCCTTCAGAGTCTCACAGATCTGACTCAACTCCAGTGAGGAGACACTCAAGAAATGATAGTTTTATTTCTAGCATTGAGACTCTGGTCTTGTGAGAACATTCAATATAATATCTGAAATAAACTCCAAGGCAGTGCTGAATCTGAGTACAAACAAGCTTTCTGTTTATTTATTTTTTATTTGTGTCATTTCAGGCAGCAGAGTCTGGCTATGGCTCAGAGTCAAGTCTCAGAAAAGGCGGCTCTATGCTTTCACTGTCATCTGTCACAAGCTTATCAACAACAGCATCATCTTCTTCTTTCAAGGTACGTTGTGTGTTTATACACTAATTTTTGAAATGATCCATTTTTGTATCTCACAAATGTACCCTTTTCATGTACTTTTACATGATACATAATATTTTTGGGGTGAAATGTTGGTTCGTAAGCCCTAAAGGTATTCTTTTGGGGCTACTCAAAAAAATGTTTCCTTTTCCATCACCTCCTCTTTGGTAAAATTGGGTGGGTGGGTTCAGTGAAAGAGAGAAACTTCATGGGTGAGTTTTGTTAGGGAATTAGTGAAGCATCCAATTTTGGCCTTATATAAATTATTTGTACCTACCAGAGACATTTCAACACTCCTATTTTCCATTCAACTACGGATATGACAGAAACTCAAATGCCTGGGGTTGGGAGGGGCAGAGAACATAAAAAAGGAATAATATACAAACCCTTGTAACCTAGCTTTTAGGTAGGGTATTAAAACTGGGATTAAGACATTACACTGTTATTGCAACATGAATACATGTACCTGTAAGATGCAAAATTTCTTATGACCTTTGTATATTTATTGTCCTTTTCTAATGCATATGCATCCATTGGAGAAGTTTTCACTTAATTTTTAAACTGTTTACACTTCTAGAAAGGGAGAGGCCTGCGTGAAAAGCTGATGGAACTTGAGACCTTCAGAGACATTGTCTGCCAGCAGATAGACACTCTTCAAAACTACTTTGATGCTTGTGCAGGAGCTGGTGGGAATCACAAACAAGTTCTTCATATGGAAGGGAATGACCATGATCTCTTTGGCAGCAATGATGGATGTATGCTAATCATTAAAATAAATGTAGAAAAACTTGTTTTCATCTGAGTGGTCCTATAAGTTTTTGGGTTTTGAATCATTTTCCACTCAGAGAGCCATTAAAGAATCACTTTAATTCTTTTTGTGAATTTTGACAGATTTTTCCTGTTTGGGTGACATTATAGTAAACATTTTAAAGGGATAGTCAGGAATTTAATTCATCTGTAACTAAAAGTACAGATGGATCATGATTTGCAATCTAACAAAATTTTCATGTGGATTTGATTGATAGGGCTGTTTATTTTACAATTTTTAAAATGTGTGAGTTCAGTATTTCAAAAGTTTTTCAAGCTCTGTTGCCTTTCTATATGAAGTACAAGTGTAACTCAAACCTTTGTATTCTATAGTGGATATTGATGCTGACGATGAAATGGATGAACTTTCAACTACTCCCACTCCAGCCACCTTAAATCAAGTGGTGGGTAACCTAGCCAACAGGAAAGCAACATCTGACAGCTCAGACAGTCCACCAGCTGTTCTATCAATTGCAAATGCCAAAGGGGTGGATTTTAGGGGAGAATCTATCACGTTCAAAGCAACTACTACTGGTATCCTAGAAACTCTTCAACACTGTATTGATATCATGAATAAGAGAGAGGATCACTGGCAGAGACGATTGGACAAGGTAAGTTATACATCTTTCTGTGAGATGAGCTTTAACTGTTTCTTATCATGAGATGCATTATTTCATATTCTTCATGATATCAATGGCAAAAGTATTTTAGGATTTGTTTCCACATTGACTGTTTCAGTTGATCAGACATGCTTACTGTATGCCTGCAAGTGAGCTATTTTTGCTGAGCAAAGTACGATCTTTTCCCTGAGAACTACATGAATGTATATGAATACTACCATGAGAAATTGATAGCCACCCTGAAAAAGGACAGCCAAATTGGCTAAAAAAGAATTTAAAGGACTGGGGCCAAGTTGATTGAAGCATTAAGATTGTCAATCCTTTATTACTGTAGTATTGATATGAATCCTTGACTGACTGTCATGGAAGTATTTCTAGACCAGTTTTTGTAGCATCTACACTAGACTAGTACATACACAGTGGTGTCACTTTGTGCTTTAGCTTGGAAATGACCTTATAAAAATATATCGTATATGTACATTACATTTTCAAGGAAATAGAGAAGCGTAAGAAAGCAGAAGCAGCAATAAAATCAGCAGTTGTTAATGCCAGAAAACAAGCATTCATCGGAGGTCCAGATTTTGAGGTAAGGATTTGATTTAAGTTTCATGTATTTAAAGCTGTTACATTGTACACATCATTTGCATGGGCTGTTATGTAAATGTACACTGTTGGGTTAATTTTTGTGTGAAGAATACTCAACAAAATTAATGTTTTCTTTAATATGAACACATTTATCCAATGAGTGTGATGTCCATCTATTTTTGACAGAAATTTGATTGATTGCAAATAGGAATTTGTCATGTCCAGTTGTTTCGTCATTCTTTCTTGTGGTTGTTAAATTGGACCCATGCATACATGTAACAGTTAAGTGTTGAAGTGGATTCTTTTAATTGCATGTACAGGTACAAGTATGCTTACAAACCACTTAAGATTGTGGGCAATTCTGCCTTAATAATCTACAGTAAGAATGATTATGCCTCGATGTTGACAAAGTAGATCATAACAGAGACCCAGCACATGATACTCTTGCCAATATTTTTGCTTGTTTCATGTGGTTAATAAGTTCCAGTTTATCACCTGCATGCAATCTTACATTCAGTTATTGCATGTAAAAACTGCATGATTACAAGCAATTCTGCTTTAAGGCAGTGCATGTAAAGTGAGTGTCAAGTCAATGATAATGCAATGTATCACTTACATTAAACATGCTTTAAATGCTGCGGTCCCTTCTGTCATTTCTGTGCCACTGTTAATTTAATTTCAAACATGACTTGCACCCTCTATTGTAATATTGTTATAGGAAGGACCACATAGTGCTTTGAATGAAGAAGAGTTCTATGATGCAATAGAAACTGCTCTTGATCGCCAGGATGAAGAAGAAGCTACCATGGTTGGTGTTTTGATAATCTGCTTTATTTACTTCCCTTCAAATTTATTATTACAATAGTGCATCCTTACCATGTCCTTTGTAATCTAAAGATTTTTTTGTCATGAACTGGTTCACTGGATAAAGATGAAGGCAATAGAATGCAAAATAAAGTACTCATTTTTTGTGAACAAAGAATAAATTACACTTCTTTCTTTCTCTAAACAGCAAACTGGTATCCACTCAACTCATTAGGGCCTTTGGCATACTCATTTTTAGTTCAACTACTTATTTTTCCTCAAATTTGAAATGAAATTGGTTTGTTTTGTTTCAGAATGACTTTCAGAGTAGCACCTTCATGCCTCCTTCTGAGCTTACAATAGAAGAACCCCCGCACAGACTAAAAACAGAGGTGAGAGAGTGCTAAACTTAATATTTTGTTACTGCATTTATCAGCTCAATATAATCACCAAGTAGTCAATCTTGCAAATTTATTTCATAATTGTGTTAAACACTTCAAGTCATCCACAGATGTAAATTGTGTAGTGCATTTTGTTTTTGTCTTCACTCTTTGACTCCCAGATCAAATTTGTAACTCTCCTTACAGTCAACCATACAATTTTCTTAACATTAGTGCAGAGAATTTAGTATTGGATGAACTAATTATCCCCAAATTGATATTATTCTTTATTCTCATCACTTATCTGGTTGATATTGTATGGATATTGTAAGGAGAAATTCTGTCTTGGTCACTCATGAGAGTTAAAGGGTTAACTGACACTGTTTCAAAATTTAGGTAAGTACACTCTAATTACATGTAAGGATCTTTGAGACCAAAAGAAGAAAACACTCACTGAATGCCTTAAAACTGCTATTTCTTTTAAGGTTGATGAACATGTAAAGGAAAGCTTACAAATTGTTTTGGAAAATGTGGACCACAACTGGAACTTAGTGTATGAAGATGGAGATATGAAGGTATCCCAGATGCTTGTTTTGCTTAATTATTGGTTGAGACTAGAACTAATCCTCTGTTTAGTACTGTCTCACACTGAGACCCTCATTTGAAGAGTATGTAATATGCGATTTTTTTATTGGCAAAGGTATACCGGCGAGATTATGAAGAAGGAGGTATTGTACTGGATCCTATGAAGGCTACCCATATTGTGCAGGTACATAGAGGATGATGTCTCAAATGTTCCCAATTTTTTCCTTGTTGTCTCCATAACTTCACACTGGATCAGCTATAGGTTTCATACAAGTCTTGGAAAGTTGTGGATTTCTCCAATATGATTACACAGGCTAGGAAAGTAGTGAGGTTTGAGTGTCAGCTATGAAATGTCTTGGGAAACGGCAGAAAATAACTTATCAGAGAACAACAAAGCAAGAAATACCATGGTTGTTTCATCTTTGTATTCTCTTAGAGAACAAAGTTTATGACTGAGGGTCAAGAAAATCCTTAAAAAATTGTTGGAAATAGTCTTTGAAAGTTGTGGGATTTAATGCACTTTTAAGAGCGTGATTCCTGTTTGTATAGACAAGTTAAATTTACAACTATAATGACCCCCTGGTAGTTTACCACATTTGCGGTATATCAGACCTCTTGAGTGTAAACGTGCAAATAAGTAGCACTTCACAGACAGTTTTGTTTTTATTTTCCCACAGGGTGTCACGGCCAGGGAGATGGCTCATTACTTTTTTGACAAAGATGTTCGCATGGATTGGGAGAGTAAGTGTGATTTTGCAGTATACTTATAAAGCATCAATATTTTGTGGTCAAAACAAGTATCTAATCTTCCATTCTACTTCTTGCTGTGGTTTGGGGTGATAAGTGGCGTTTGGGGCACTACAAGGTGTCAGTAAAGAATACTTTATGAAACTTACGTGTATAGGATTTTCATTTTGGTGTTACTATTCAGTTGATAAAATTAGATGTCTGCAGCACATAAAGAAGAAAACTTTTATATCCACAGTTTTTAATGTTTTGTTGTATTAATACTCATTTACATGTTACATGATAAGCTTAGGATTCACTCTTCTAAGTACAACCTGTAGCAGCTACTCACGATAATTATAATGATGTAATAATAATGATAATTTTAATCATAATTTTAATCATAATAACAATAATAATGGTAGTGACAATAATAATAATATTGATTATAAGAAAATGATATTGATAGGAATAATGACTGTAATGATACTCATCATAATAATGATAAGATGGTAATGATAAGAATAATCCTATGAAATTTAAAAAAAACGATCTCTGGCTAAAACTTTTAAAAATACGAGCTTTCGGCTGTTTGCGCTACAGCCTTCAACGGGTAAAATGATAAAAAGGTAAAAAATACTAGGTGTGAAGTACAAAGTAAAAATTGAAAATGCTGATAACTAAGAATGTTTGTTAAAAAGAATGTTGTATTGTCCGGGCAAAGGACAGGAATTGTTGTCCGCATTGGGAGTTAACTTGGAATGCCACGATTCTAGTATTTTTCTTGTTCTGAAACCGCCTTTGTCAATAATAGATGCATTATCAAAGTCTATTGCGTGACTATTGGCCCAGACGTGATTGGCAATTCTTGAGCCTTTTGCCGCGGTTTTCACATTTCTGAGGTGTTCTTTCTTTCTTGTGCTGAAGGCCCTGCCAGAAGCGTGGCATTCCAAATTAATTAATTAATCCTGGAACAAATATTTACCAGTAAAAGTTAGAGCATTAAGAGGAATTTGAAGTGTTCAGTTAATTAAGCAAGGTCGTATTTGTTGTTTTATTTCATGTACAGGCACGTTGGAGTCTTCAAAAGTTTTGGAACAACTCAGCGAGAGTTCGATTATAATGCATCAGATTTTCAAGCGGGTGTGGCCATCGTCCCAGAGAGATACAGTTTTTCTTTCTCATATTCGGGAAATTCCGTTAAGCGATGCTGGTGAAAGAGTAGAAAACGAAGTTGGACGGCCGTGGATTGTTTGCAACAACTCAATGGAACATCAGGATGCTCCGGTACTTGTTGTTGCCGAAATTTTTTACGTTAAACTATTTGAAACAGTTCATAAAGTTGTCTACATTTATTTACTCTGAAACCTGTGGTTGCTTTCGTTTGGGTTTTTAGATAAATCCTCAATTGGCAGTCGAAAGGTGAAAACCCAGGTTATAACAGTGACAAGTCAGATGAGTCTCAGATCAGGAATTAACATTATCGTTAGTCAACGAGAACGCGCAGTAAATACTGGCAAGCTGCCCGAAGCGCGGGAAACCGCGAATTAGCAATTGGCGGTTGCTTTTTTCTTTTTTGTATCTGATTGGTTGAAAAAAGAAAAAGCGAGTATTAAATTAGTCTTCTAGGGCAATCACAGAGCAAAGTATTGCACGACTACAGCAATCCCGTATTACTTAAAACACTTGATTGAAACTCATCCTAGTCTACTAACTCAACCAAATGGTATTGTGTTGACTACTGCTTCGAAATTTTTCAAGTATATCTGGAATGATAACTACATGTGGCTCGCTTTTATTCAAGTCCCATCATAAATGTTTTCTCCTGGCTATTGTCTAATGTATGACTGTTCTCACTTTAGATGAACAAGTTTGTACGCGCTTCGATCGTTGTGGGTTTGTATTGTCAGACGTTTATTGAACCAAGAGCTGAGGGGGAGAAGCTTACTCGAGATCATGTAACCTGCAAAATTACCTACACTGCAAATGGTATGAGAGTCGATGGAACGAATTTCTAGATGATAACCTGTAGTAATTTTGGCTTAAAAACTCCCATCGTTCACAAATCATCGTTACGTCTTAACTTTGTGTTTTGTGATGTAATTGTCTTTTTTTCTTTTTTCCGCAGTAAACCCGGGAGGTTGGGCTCCACCTTCGGTAGTGCGAGCTGTATCAAAACGTGAATACCCGAAGTTTCTCCGAAAAATCAGCTCATTCTGTCAAAACGCGTGTAAGGACAAACCCATCACCTTGTGAGTGGAGAACATGGAGTACACTTTAACGGTCCTTGAAGGGAAACCCAGGTCATGGATATCGTCAACAGTCGACGAGGATTTTCCTCGCGGAACACGGAACATTTTTCATGTGGAGATGAAAACTTAATTTGGAACCAACATAATTTTGTTATTAAGTACACCTTGGAACATTTAGTGATAAAGCTTTAAGACCTCTGCTCGCCTCGCCCCGCAAGGTTGGTGGCATTTTTACACAAAAATCGATTTAAAAAAACGCTTACTAAACAAGCCGTAATGAGAGAGAACGTGAGTGAAGCAAATCAGCAAAGAAAGAAGAAACGATTTTACAGTACTTATTAGAATTACAGTTCACGACTCTCCTCTATAAAAGCTCCTGATCCTTTACTTGAGCCTTTGGATGTCAGCTCAGAGAAGCTACTTCAACGGACTTTGGCTTACTGTAGAGTACAATAGAATAGCCTCTTGCAAACTAGCAATTTTCAATTTAGTGTTTAAAATGACGCGGGTTGCTTTGGTTTTGCTGTGCTACGCACTGTGATTGGTTTAGAACGCTCTTGCCACCCTCTCGACCAATCAGATGTAGGATCACAACCAATCACAACTTGGTCGCCCTTGTTTTCTCTTGCAATGCGGTTTTCTTGTGTTTTCTTGTTGTATTGGCTCCGCTTTGTATTTAGCTCTGTTCTGATCGGCTGACGAGATTTTGATTTTGAATTTCACAGCCCTCAATCGAAATGCATTTTGAATAGAAAGAAAACCTCTCGAAAAACATTTGCTAGTTTTGAAAAACACTACTAAGGTAAAAAAATTAAACCAAAAAGGAAAGGGTGTGGGTGGGGTTTGCAAAAAATTGAAACAGATGACAATATCATTGTCTTGTATACTCGAATTGTAACGTTCCTGCAAATTAAGTTGAATGTTATTGTGGTTATTGACAAATTTTTTTACAATTAAGCAATTTTAAAGGCGTCGACTGCGCTTCTTAGTTTTACAGTAAATACCCTATAAGTTATGGAAAGTGCAACGAGATACGAATTTGAATGTACAGGTTTTTACTTTTATCTCGAATAATGCAGATGTGACGAATTTGTAAAAAAGATATAGCGTCAAAAATTAGAGACTTACAATGACTTAGAACGGACTTATTTCGTGGACTCCTTGGTAAGAAATGAAGTCAGCGAAATAAGATCTTGATTGAATATTGTTTACAGTGAGATAAATTAAAAATAGTTTATTTTGCAATGAATATACTTTAAAATGCTAAAAGGTCCAACTTTATGATCAATATTTATTGCGCAAGAACTTAACCGAGCAAAAAAGAAAAAGAAGAAGTGAATGAATTTTTGTTTTGGACGTAATTCTATGGAAACTTTAATGAATGAATATGGACGGGTTTAGAAGAAAGCACGCACATGTTGTTTTGTCAGGGAATCTAAATAAAAAATCGATAATGATTGCCACTGACTCGACTGTTGTTGATTGTAAATTTTCGCTGTGGTACATATGAAGGATGCGGTTGCTTAACGAAATACCAGGGTTGGAAATCTGGGTTGGTCAATGTGATTTGTTTAATCCCATAATGTATCTCTCCACTCAGGAGTTTAAATGTGTACCTGTGAACTGCTGGGAGAAAGCCTGACGCATTTCTGGGAGGGGGGGAGACTTAGCAATACTCCTGGTCGTCAGAGCAACGGAAACTGGTCTAGGCTCTGGTAGTTATACGCGTCAGTCTCGTATTTAGACTTGGCCGCGTAATCGTTGGGTGCGTAGAATCTAAACATCCAGTTTTGTTAATTACTTAATAGTCATAATTACCTTAATCATGTACGCATTTTGATTGGTTCTTTATCATGGTTATTGATGGACAAGCGTTATATGACATCACTATTAACGATTCTTATAATATGAGACAAATCGATTTAATGCTTATATCACGGAAGGCGTACTACTGTGGCAAGAACATCAGTGACACAGGCCGCCACGTGCTCATTCACACCATATTTTGACGTCATCTGTGATCTTTCACTGAACAGACGCACGGCAACATGGAATTTGTTTGTTAACTCTTTACACCCTGACATCAGTATGCATATTCTCCATACTGTTCTATGTACATTTACTAATGTGCTAACAAGGAGAATTGGCCTTACAATCAAAGAGTTTCTTTAATTGGTGATCATTTCCTTTCTTCTTATGACATTAATGTGTGATTCAGTGTTGCTAATGTCAGGAGAAATTAGGCGTTAAGGGGTTAAATAGGTTCACGGCTCGAAGTTCCCTTTGGGAATAATGGGAGAAAACAGAGTTAACTAAAGGCATGTTTGTTGTAAGTGATCGGAGCTAGTGATGCTCTAGGTTAGTGATAGTTCCCCCGCCTTACTTAGTGCCTTGAGCTTTCAGTATCCTTTCCAGCACTCACTGGAAGCGCAAAAGCAGCTCTCATAAGAATTAGTGTTGGCCACAGGATTGTCACTGAATCAATCAAACTGCTTGATTTGTATTTCATTGTTTTCTGATATGTTCACACCTGAAAATTTGGTTTTCTTGAGCACTAATTGAGACCCTCTAATCCGTTGCTTTCGCAAAGTGATGTTAGTTCAAATCTGTATATTTTATATTCAGAGTCCCCTAGATCGTAACGCTCACGTACGCAAAATTGTCATATACCTTTACTCATCGCAAAGTTATTTTATATATTGGTTCAATCTATCTAGATTGTAGCTCAGGCCGAGCGGAAGCCTGGAGATAAGAAGTGTGTGTGGTGCACCGCGTTGTATTTTGGCGGGAAATTATCTGGATCTGCAAACTCTAAACAAAATACATAGATTTCTTTTCCTCTAAGAAAACTTCCATTGAATCAGACAGACATGGAACTTTCTAGTCCACCGAAACCTACTCGGATAGTAGACCATTTAATGCAAAATTCAAAGGAAGGGCAAACAAGCGGACATGAAGATTTTCCCACTGAAAACGCCATAAATGCAAGTCGTACAGAGGCAGCCACCCTTCCAGATTTGGCAGGAGAAGTAGCTGTCGCTCAGAGGCAACAGATTAACGAGCTTAGTCAGAGACAGGAAGTTCGTGATCGGCTGAAGGTAATTGAAACGACGCGTAAATTTTATTCGAGTGAAGCTTTATTGATTATGATATTCATTCAATGTAGTTTACAACCCTTTTGAGCATTCACGGTGTAACTTTATTGTATTTTTGTTTGCTTCATTCATATTTGGCACAATCAGGATAATTGCTACCAAGGTAAAAATTTCTGCGTTACTTTCAGATTTGAATCAGAAATTGTTTTACTGACAATCAAGCACTGTTCTCGAAGGTATCTTGAACTAGTCGCTAATAATCTTAACTCTACTAGTTCAATTAAAGATTAACTCTGTGAAGTCAGACCTTGCAGCTGTTTCGAGAAAAATCTATTCAATGGACGAAGAGGTTTCCAAAAAGAAGGCATGGTGTGTAGAACTTGACAAAGGTATTTTGTGTTTTAAACTTGACTTTGCGTCGCCGCAGGGGTTTATTTGGGGTTCCAAGACAACACTTTGGGTCTTCTCGCACTGTTTAAATCTAGGTAAACATTCAGTGCTAAAAAACTGGGTTTCTTTTCAATAAAAACAAATAATAATAAGAGTACGAATAATGATGATAACAATAATAATATAAAATTATATGATGAGAGTAGCAAGAACAACATCAACAATAATACTGTGAGAAATAAATAATGATGGTAATGAACGGTACAGGCAATTATATGGTCGCGAGTGCAATATGGAATAGATAAGCAGCAAAAGAACATAGTTATTTTCTTCATAAGTAGGTATAATTTGTTCAAAGACCACCAAAATCACACCTGTTATTCATGATCAAACCCTACTAGTTTCTTTGTGCGTTTGGTCAAAATAACAATTTTTACCTTTTTTTAATTTTTTTTAGCTGTAAAAAAAATTTAGAACACGTCTAAAAAGTTGTTACCTCCTGAACCTTCTACAATGGTGTGCTTATACCTATATATCGTGCTGTCATTCTTGCTTCTTAGATATTGCAGCCCTTGTTGCATCCGAGAGGAAACTAACAAAGGAGCTTGCTATCGCAAATGATAAACTGGAGAGGGACAGAGAGTAAGCAATGAATCAAAATAACTTAACCACTTTCCGGCATGTGAAAGAGTTTTTGAGAAAATAGCTTCATGTCAAAATATGGAAGAGAACATTTCGATTGATTCTCGTAATACCAAAACTAAAGTAATCACAACAGCCAAACACACAGATAAAAAGAAAATATCGCAAGGAGCCAAAGAAAATGCGATTGATCGAGTCCCTATTGGGTTTATTATGATAATTGTACTGATTGATAGGTAATCACATGATTTCGGGTGCAATATTTTTACATCTTTAAGACGCAACAAAGTTCAAAATCCGGCTAAACAGTTCAAGAAATTGTTCAGTCTGGTTTGTTACTACTTTGCACTGAATAAACTCTCTTCTGCATCGAAATTACCTGAAAAAACTGCATTCATCTTAATCAATCAGAACTGAGTCATCTTTCGTGCACTTTCAAGTTAGGTCTGAAATCATACGGGAGATTTCTAAATCGAACGAGCGCGCAGCGCGAGTTTAATTTGAGTTAAATCTTCCTTTGTCGTAGATTGTACAAACGATATAGGGCAAAAATGGCAGGATATACCCATCAAGTGGCAGAATACAAGAGAAAGCTCCCCGTCCACAGGAGAATAACACAACAAAAAGCCAAAAATACCGAACTCAGCGAAGAATGTAAGATAAATAGTTTTTTAATTTTTGAAAATGTGTAATTCAAATATGTGTCCTTGAACGAGTAAAGAATGACCTCTGGTTAAATTCCAGCATAATAGAAACACATACAAGATCTTTGCTGAGCGAAAAATGGGTAAACCATTGACGGTAGTATGCTTATCAATACCTTGCTATAATATTGCAAGCAAAGTTCCACCCCATGAATGCGTTCATTCATGATGTAAAAAGATCTTTGAATTTTGCTGGGCGAAAAATGGGGTAGATCATTGACAGTGGTATGCTTATCAATACCTTGCTATAATAATGTAAACAAAGTTCCCCCCATGAATGCATTCATTCATGATGAAATAGGACGTAAAACTAATAATTGAGAAACATTGAGTTTATCACCGGTGAATGAATTCACCGGGATAAACTGAGAAGTCATTAACCTTACTCAAAACTCGGAATATTTGATCGGATACTGTTTTAACTGTGGCATTGATTTTATCAATTGAGGAGTTGTCATTCATCTTGCAGGGTTTTAGCCATTTGGACTCATATCGCACCTTTGCATAAGTGTAAGACACATCGTAGCAGGGGAGGTAGTTGATCTTCGTTTTCGATGGAATTTAGTTCTCTGCATGTACTTACTTCGTCATCCTGCTTCTCATTTTCATGACAGTAGAACGTCTTCGATCGCTGGGGAATGAGTCGAAACTTGAAAACCTAAGAGCAGAGCTGGGTAAAAGAAAAGAACATAAGAAACAGCAAGAGGAATCGACGGCTTTAAACAAGTTAATGGTGAGCTTTTGTCCTTGTTTTTTCAAGCATTTTTTACTTCCTACCCATAGGGTGACCTATGCACAGTTCAATTTACTATGACGTGCAGAAGATTAAATAAAAATTGCTCTTTCTTTTGCATGAAACGACAGCAACAAGAGGAGAACGATAGGCAGGCAGAACTGACCAGAGAGACCCTGCGGGTAGGTTCAAGGCGTGAGTATCCCCCAGTGGGAGGGGGTTCTCCTCAGGATTATTGAAAGGGGTGCGTTAGCCGTTTCTCAAAGTCCTGATCCTACTGCAGAGAAAAGTATACCGTTTTCCATCTTGTTTTAAGACCCGACCTCTAAAATTCCATACCAATTTTTAGGACTGGCTTTTGAAAGTTGTACTTGACTTGCGAATCCATTACGCTTTGATGTCCTTTGTTGCAGTGTAATTAAGTCAATTTGCATTAGTATTGAAGGCGCTTATTGGGGAAATTAACTTAAAACTGGAGCTCGAATGATATGAACCATTTTTCGTTTCCTTTGGAAATTCGAGTTAGCGGGGTTCTTCTGTATTCGATGAAACCACAACCTCTTGCCAAGACTGACTGACATTTAATGGTCATGTTTTACATTCTCTCAATAATATCAACCTTAAAGAGATAGATCTAGAAACACAAATGATGTTTAGTATGTAAGGTTTTATTTCCCACACCCTCTTGAATTCGGTAATTGTCTGTCGTTTCCGGCAGCGCGGTTTGTTATTGGACCGGATCAGGGTATGTCAACACTGCTGTCTAATTCATTTGGTTGCCTCGACTAATGTCTTTGGTTCTAAGCTTTCAGATCAAACCGGTTTTAGAATGACGTATCTGAACACTCATATCATAGACATACACAAGCCTCTATAACTTATGAGGCATTTCCCTTACGAAAATTCTAAATAAAACACCAGTAAACCACGAGTAATAACCTAAACAGGGAAAAAAGAAGATGGGAGAAAAAGCTGATAACCCCCTCAATGTATTAAGGGGTAAGAACTTGAATGAGGTTAAAAGATCAAAGCTGCTAAAACCGTAAGCGGAGAACGAACCATCTCACAACGCAGAAGGCACCTCTAATTTCAGTGACCGTTTATTATTATAGAAGCCAAACAAAGCTCAATAGAAAAGAATGAAGCATCAGTGGAATCAGCCTCACGCAACCAATACTGAAACTGTCAAGTTTTTAAAGAAGGTTCCCTGATGTCACGCAACCTGCTCGGCATAATAAGAAGAATTAACTAAAGGGGAAAAAGACATGATTAAGCTTTACTACGTATATTTCAATCTAGCGACTTATTATTTCCCTACAACTAGGACAAGTTTTAACCTAACTGAAGGTTCATTTTACATATTTACCACAGTGTGGTCAGTTACCCATATTGTATCCATTTTGAAGTTGATTTTGCACGGTGTGCGAAGGATTCTGCGAAACTTTGACGTGAGTCAACAAAATAGGGAATTGGTTAGCCAGTTGGAACGTCTGCCTGATGACGTATTTCGGCGTCTGTTGAAAGCGCAACTTACCACGTGGATGTGTTTGTGACCTTGGGATTTTTCAGACTGGTTTCAATTTCTAAACATCTCGTGCTAATTAAATGAAAGGGCTGTATTGCAGTAAGGGTATCGCAAGTTGGTAATGAATCTTTCCGCATTCCTCGACGTAAAGATCTCGTGTTCCGCTGCAGTTTAGTCGTATAGAAGAACTTTAAAATATCCAGATGAAGACCGTGGATTGCTGTTTTCAAGAGTAACAAAATTCTTTTGTTTTTATTCCGTGAGGAAAGCGTGTCCTTCATTTAACGGAATACCAATAGTTGTCAATTTGAAAACAAATTACCTCAGGGTTAGGTGATCCCTCACAAAAGAGTCAATCTTGACGCCCACATAGGAAAACAAATATCCATTCTTTGCTTTATGACAGTCAGGGTACAAAGCAATATTCATTGTCTAATAGTTGATTTGTAACAGTATTTATTATGAGCGATTAATTTCCAACTGTGACCTTGGCTGTAAAATCGCTTGTATTGCAAACCTTTTCATTTACGTAGTTACCTTACTCTTTTGCAGTCAAGGTTAATAAAATCATGAAAATAGATATTTATAGCTCAGTACCATTAACGACTTTGTTTTCGGAAGCACTATTAAAAGAAACTTAATCTTCTTTTGCTCAAGGATTGTTTTTGCACCAAAACAAGTGTATAGATTCCGCACGAAAACTCTCGAATGAAGTAACTTGATCAAATTTAATCTGATCCTTATAATAACCCCCTTCTTGATTATGGTATGATATCAAAGAAACTTTTTATTTTCATCAGGTTTTATTTATAACCTTGGATGACAAATACAGGTTGTTCTTCAAGGTTGAAAGCTGCGGTATTTTTGACGATTACCGTCAACCCGTAAAATTGCCGTCGGTTTCAGATGAAAGAGACCCAAGGTGACGATATAACTGATGTGTGTTTGTAAGGTCACGGAAGTAACAAATGATTGCTCGTTTGTGAAACTGGGAAGTACGGCGGATTATCAGACAGACGAGTCGGCTTGCTGCTCATTTCCTTACTAATGAATGTTGTTTGCTCAAGTTTTGCAACCTCAGGAACAGCAAAACTGATTACAAAGTTGTCGTCTTTTGTGTATCTGTAGTTACTCATTGTAACAATAGTAATAGACCAGGCGGGACGGGAGGTGGTGGTGGGGGGCTGAAAAACAGCGCACTGTTATTTAATTTGGTCGTTTTCCTTTATAGATATTTTATTCCAAAATGTTCCATGAAATAAGCGTCTACAACTTGAGCAATAATTAGATGTGGAGGAAGTAGATTTCGTGATGCAGACCTTAACGAGACACGCTCCATCTGTTTGTTAGATAAATAGAGCCTCTCAAGTGTGACTCGCGACCTTGACATTGGCAATTTTTTAGGTAAACAAATAGGCAAGGTTACGCAGAGTAGTTATATAAATACCACCCGCAATTAAGCGGGGGAACAAGACTTGCCACAAAACTGCTGAATAACCACCCTTGACTCTCTTGAGGTACCTGGCATGGACGAAATCTCGATCTTCCGAGAAAATCCGTTGTTTTATTTTTTCAGTGTCGCCTGCATCGCTGCTTTCCTGCTGCTCATCTGGGGATGGTCCAAAATTCCGAAAGACATTCCTCCTGGGCCGTTCGGTTTGCCACTAATCGGGAGCCTGCTTCAACTTGGCGATTCACCGCATCTCGCCTTATCGAAGATGGCCAAAGACTACGGAAAGGTATTTTCTATTCGCCTTGGTTGGAGAAAAGCAATCGTCTTGAACAGCCAAGATGTCGTTAAAGAAGCACTGTCAAAAAGGGCTGGCCATTTCTCGGGGAGACCACCCTTTCACAGTTTCAAAATTAGCACTCATCAGAGCGAGAGCATAGCCTTTGGTGACTTTGGCCCTTCGCATCAGAAAAAAAAGAAAATGGCTATTCGTGCCCTGCATTCTGTTTTCACTGATGTGAACCGCTTTGATAGCTTGTCACATCAAGAGTTTGAGCGAATGCGTTGCAACCTTTTGACGGATGGCAGTTCAGAGGCTCAAGACTTGACTCCACACCTAAAAACTATGGTCATTAACTTTGCTTTCAGATTTGTCTTTGGAGATAATTTCGAAGAGGACTACAGTGCTGCTTTGCAGAGCCTCCTGAAGAAAGCAGCTGACTTTACTGAGAACAATGGGGTCATAAACTTAATAGATTTCTTCCCTTGGCTTCATTTTCTCTTCAAAAAGCAATGCCAAACTCTGAAAAATTCTGTCAGAGAGCTCTTTGACTTTGTAAGAAGCATCTACACACTGCAGCGGCATGCGAGCATCAAAGAAGCTGGTGTCAATGTGGCAGAGTCTTTGGATCAAATTATTAGAGAGGATCTCGTAAATGCTGGAAAGCCTGACCCAAAAACCTCTAAATCAACCGAACAGAAAGCTCGCAGCGAATCGTTAGAAGACCTGGCGGTTAAAGTTTTAGCCGACGTTTTTGGAGCCGGAATTGAGACCGTGTCCACCTCGTTGAGCTGGGCGCTGCTCTATATCCTTTCGAAACCTGGTCTGCAAGACGACTTACAAGCAGAACTGAAACGCGTGATAGGAGTGGATCGCCTTCCCTCTCTTCAGGATCGAGCAAAACTTCCCCTATTACGTGCCACTGTCTTAGAGGCATTACGAATGGCTACCGTTCTTCCCCTTTCTATTCCACACTACACTACGGAAGATTCAGAAGTCGCAGGTTACCGTGTACCTAAAGGAACGACTGTGGTGGTAAATCTTTGGGCTGTAAATCACGATCCACAATACTTCGACCATCCAGAGGTTTTCAATCCTCACCGTTTCCTTGACACCGAGGGACAACTCTTGTTAGACCAGCAGGCTTTCCTGCTTCCATTCTCAACCGGTGGAAGGCGCTGCCCTGGTGCTACCCTCGCTAAGGCGCAGCTGTTTATGTTTCTCGGGTGTCTCCTGCAAGGAATGCATTTACAGCTTCCGGAGCACAGCGTGCCACTTAACATGGATGGAGAGTTTGGATTTGTCTTGAAGCCTCGTTCACTTAAGGTGCAAGTAAATCCTCGAAACATTGAACAATGACTGCGATCTTTGGTATTTCAGTTAAATTTTTCATTACAGGTAATTGCTAGTACTATTAGTGGGCAATCCTTCTCTCATAGATTAATACAAACAGTTAGTTTAGGATATAAAGATTTCATTAGTGAAAAGATTTATATTTTGTTTCCAAATTTTTCAATTCTCTACAGCCTGATTGAAACTTTGACTGCCACTACCGGATAACATGTTTATTTTATTTATTTAAGAAAATGACGAAAGCTTGATGATTCCCTTTGGAGTAATGAGTAATTAAGCTTTATTCATCTTGGTAATGCATTTTTGCATATTTTTCAAATACCCAAATTGTGTCATTGTATCGACTCCAGCAGACCTATTTTTTGATTCAACTCAATGTGCAAGTAGATTTTTCCTTGATTTACTTAATAAGCTTTATTTTCATTGCTTACCCACTTATGATGAGAGTGTTTATGATCAAGAAAGCAATTTGAAACCAGAAATTCATACATTTACTTAATTACATACGACTTCTAGATCGTTCAATGTTTTTCTACCTATGCTTTTTCGAGCATCGATTTATAAACAACAATTGGTAGCTCAAAAGGGCTACTGAGCCATGTTACTATTAATCGGCTAAGAATTTTCAGATATGGTCATTGAGACTGAAGAGACATGTCGCTCGGTCCAACGACTGCAAATCATACTTAAGGTATGCCCGAAATTTACCTTGACAAAACTTGCTAACGTTACATTTGTTATGTAGCTGTTGACAAACTCATTGCTTTACTCAGATTATTTTAACTTTCATTTCGTGACACAAAGGACTTACTCTTGTCCTAACTTTAGCTCTTTAGGAGTAATATATTTATCCAGGTTATTAATGATAACTGGATTACTTCATGCTCTAGTTTGAACAAAATTGAACTTAAACGTAATCGTTTCCTTTCATTTAGTTTGCTCAATTTTCAACTTGTTTTTCCATATTGACAACAGTACCTGCCTCTGTATGCAGAAGCAGCTATGAGCTGTTTAATAAAAGTTCCTTTGGATTTCTCTAATGTTCCAAGTTGTGTGCAAACATTTTAGGTGGCTCTGTAGGCAGTTTGCTTTCTCTTCTCCTTCACTCACGAGGTAGGAAACTTAGCACCAGAACTGGACAGGTCAATTTCTTTCCACTACAAGTCGTCCAGAAACTTCTTCTACGAAAGCCAAACTGAAATTGTTAAAAATGCGGATACTCATCAGTGGCAGATCCAGACATTGAGCTAAGGGGGAGGGCCTTTTTTTTTTTTTCGCCTGCCCTGACGGCTTTTCCTCCTTCGGGGGGGGGCCCTCCCTTAGATCCCCCACTGCTTATAGCAAGAAATTGCAGGGCCTTTCATTCTGAACGGTACCGAGTCAATCATATATCCTTTTTAATGAATTCTTTCGGCCTGCCTTATTGACTTACACCCCATTCACTTCAGCGAAAATAGTGTAGTCAAACTGGGATTTACTGAAAGAAAATTAGTGACAGAGAACTGAAAAACTTAATTTTCCATAGGATTAAATACTCACTCACTTTTATGTCCAATATGCGAAATGTGAAGCCGCCAAGCATTGGTGTCAGCAGCCTTTTCGGAGGCAAAAATTTGAACCGTGTTTAACAAAACAGCTTTGAAACGAGATAATTTGGTTTTATTAACTGAGTTGATAGTGTAAATTTACCACCGTAAATAGGAATAAGCGAACGTTTCAAGCGTTTGCCCCTAGTCAGAGCGTAGAGCCTAAAAACAAGCCGAATCGTAAAAGCTTGGGTAACCTGTGCTGATAGTTATCAACAGTGTGATCATGTGACCCAATGGCGGGAATTTTTCTTTTCCCAACTCCCGTTGCATTCATGAACACAAACTGAGATAGTTTCGTCAGTGACAGTATTTTCGCTTTGAAAAGAAAAATAGTCGATATTTGAAAGGATATGACAGATAAATCCTCACGCGAAAGTTTCCAGCAAATTGTATTTCTCATCGACTCTAATCCTTCATTTTGGGGATCGAACAACTCCGCCGACCATGCTGCGAAGGCCATTCGATTGTGCGTACTTCGATTGCTAACGTACTTTAGTGATTATCGGAAAGAAAAGCGATCAAATCTACGATGGGGATACAAAATATTCAACTCGAGATCACTTTCACATCAGTTTGAACGACACGACTTCAAAGAATTCTTAGTTAACGAGTTTGAGGAATTTGAAGATCATGTGTCGAAGAGGTTGAACGAATCCTTCGCACAACAATGGCAAGAAAACGAACTTGAACCGAAGGAACAAGACGATGCAGAAACTACAACCTTTCCGAAACCTGCGGGAGGAGCTAGATGTATTTCTTTTGTTTTTAAAAATGCTGTTCACGATTTTCAGTGGGAAAGGCCTGACATTAGCTCACCTGTCAGGAGAACTCGTGGAAATAACAACACGCTCTTTTACCTTGACAACAGAACCGATACACATAATGTTATCTTTTTGTTGAGCGGTTGCCCTTATGATGATGACTCAATCTCGGAATTCACCGGTGAAAATTTGTCTTTTCTTGGAACTGTAGAGGGTTTCAAAAGTATTTTGATGCCCTCAGTGTTGTACAAGGAATTCGAGGAAAGGCGCATTTGTTTACATTGGGTGAACATAAGCAACTACCAGCAAGAAGAGGTACATGTTTATTTTTTTTACATCGGTTTTGATGTGATTTAAGATGATGCCAGTTAAAGAAGCTTTGCTGTAATTCTTCCAGAAAATGACACATAAGGCAGTTTCTAATAGCAGGTCCTATGATAAAGCGTAGATTTCATAGGCACAGACAAATTTCTCTTCTTCTACAACCATAATACCACTCAGAAATATATTTTAGTAACCTGTACATCATGATCTATTAGCAGCTACTCGGTTAACTGGGCAAGATTTCCGTATAACCCTATACTTCATGATGCATACGATTATTTGATGAAAGAAAACAGTCTCAAAAAACGTTTGCATCTCAGAGTAATACTTTTTTTTCGGATTAGTATGGGGTTACACTGCATTTTTCCTTAGATGAATGTGCTGTCTTTGCAGTGTCATTCGCTAGTGGTTTGATTTCAAAGTATTGTCAAACTAGTAAACTAAACTGTTGGTCTTGTTTCCTGCCTGTTTCTTATATGGCTAGCTAGGTTGTTAGAAGGATTTTTATTAAGTGAAGAGAGGTGAAATCCAAAGTAACTACAACTGCCAGTCAGAATGAAGTTAAACATTACCAGGGGCCAATGAAGACTCAGTAAAAAAAATAACAGGAAACAATCAAACTGGCTGAAGTGTTAGAAAATGTTAGTGACCAAGTTGAGGCTTGTTTTAGTCTTTTATCTGTTGCAAAGCTGGCATGCAGTTTTTTAACCCCTGAACTCCCATGAGTGACCAAGACAGAATTTCTCCTTACAATATCAATACAATATCAACCAGATAAGCGATGAGAATAAAGAAAATATAAATTTGGTGATAATTAGTCGATCCAATACGAAATTCTCTGTACCAACATTATTAGAATTGTATGGTTGACAGTGAGGAGAATTAGAAATTTGATCTGGGAGTTAAAGGGTTAACCAACTTAAGGTGAAGTGCACACAAAACCTTCTTTTATTCAGTCAAGTTTCATTGAAAGTTTAGATGAAAGTTATCCTGATCAACCTAAAAGATTTGAGACGATTAAGAACAAGGACAAGTTGATAAGTTCAGTTCTAAAGCGAAAGCCCTAAAATGAATAAATGAAGAGTCAGTAAGTGCCAGGTGGAGGCACGGTGGCCTCATGGTTAGTGCACTCGACTCCAGATCGGGTGGTCTGGGTTCAAGCCCTGGCCGGGGTCATTATGTTGTGTTCTTAGGCAAGACACTTTACTCTCACAGTGCTTCTCTTCACCCAGGTGTACAAATGGGTACCAGCAAATGTGCTGGGGGTAACCCTTTGATGGACTAGCATCCCATCCAGGGGGGAGTAGCAATACTCCTAGCTGCTTCATGCTAAGAAAACTGGAGTTAGGCACCAGCCCCATGGGCCACTTGGGCCCATATAAAGGCTTACTTTACTTACAGTAAATGCCTGAGTCATGGAGGAATTTGTTAGCTAATTGGAAATAATCTGAGCCCCTCAGTTAATCCAGTATGTGGATTTGGACTCTTTAAGATCTGTTTGCTGTTTTTGTATTTTTACATGAGTTATCTCTTTTTGTGAATTAGAACAAGAGTGTTAAAACATCAGTAGAGGTAACAGTGGAACAGCTTGGAGGGTGCCTGATACCTCTTTCAGCAGTGATTTATACAGGGAATAATTCCTCTGTTGGATCTAACTTAAAACCTCAGTCTGGAAAGGATGTTTCAGTTTTCAAGCAAGTCAAATCAATTACGGGACACCTACTTCCTTTTAAAACTGTACTGGATTCTTATTTGCGCAAGAAGTCAACAAAGCCATCAGTACTGGAGGATATTTCACAACAGTGGGCTAAAGGAAAAATGGATGGAACAGGATTACTGTGTTCTTCGGGTAACATCATCAGAATTTATTGTTGTTTATTTTCTTCAGTAGTGGCTTCTGAAAAGTTACAATAATATCGACAGATCCTTGTGGTAATCTCCAAAAGCTAGAAAGTGATAACAATTTTTATTCAGAGATTTATTCTTTTCCTCCTGAAACTCAAAGACTGCAGTCTCCTGATTACCATATAGATAAAGCTTGTCACAAGTAGTTTTTCTATATGTGCAGGGCTCAAACTTAACTTTGAACTTAATAGTCAAATGGCTAGTACATCATCAGGATTTACTGGCAAGATTGCTTGTAAATGAGCAAAATCCACTGGCCAAAGTTCAAAATCTACCAGTATTTGCCAAGTTTGAGCCCTGTTGTGCTCTAGAATCTATAAAAATCTCACCCTCTTCAGGTTTATCAATGACTTCATTTTCTCATTATATTTTTGTCTCGGCATTTGTTTTAATTTCTTGCCTCTTTTTGACATACTTCAGGTGCTGAAGATAAGGTGCATTGTACTGTGAAACTTCACGCTATGTTTCGGTCAGTGGAAGGACTTGAAGGCTTGAGAAATTCTCATGATAACTCTTCATTAACTGGTCAAGCTATGGATATGGAGAGAAAACAGTCACCATCAAATAATGACTCAAGCAACTTGAACCTTCTTTGGATCAGAGGGGTAGTGAGCCACACTTGTGTCTCTCCAACATGGCTTCACCCCACCAAAGGTTACTCTTGTATTGGTTTGGACAACAGTGCTGGAGATGGTCCTATAGACTCCTCTTTGTGCTCTCAGAAGCTTATTTCTGGGTGGTACCAAGCACTTCTACTTTCTTTGGCAAAAGAGAACAAATTACTGGTATGAAAATTTTTTAATAAATGATGTGTTACTTAAGTTCAAATTGTATAAAGTGTTTTTCCTAAATTGCTGAAACTTCTTCATTTGATATGCACATTTGTATGTGTTTTGGGTCTCCCACTAATACAGCATTGGAAATGTAAATCCCCCAAGAAATTGTACTATAAAAACTGAAATTTTTTTCTGTATTTTGTTTGAACAAATTTTTGAACCTGACATACATGTAACAGAATTTCCACTAAATACAAATTCTGGCAACTTTATGCTATGCTTTCAACTTAAATGACTTATGGTTAACAATGCATTTTACATGTAGTTATTGAAGACAACTCACTAAATTCCTTTAAGGTAGTAATACTTCTCAAAAGTAGGCTTACCAAAAACTGTGCCATACATAACAATTAACACCCTTTGTATCACTTCTCTCCCCTATGACCAATTTATTGGGCCTCAGCTACAGAAGTTTATCTCATTTGGAGTTTATCTGTTTGACTTCTGATTTTGCAGTATTTTTTTTTTGCAGAGGCATATTTTGTCAGATCTCCAAAATCCACAAAAGTAAAAGCCCCCAAAATTCTGATGCCTAAGGGTTGATAACTCTGACTGATTCCTTTAACTCCCAGAAATTATGAACTTCTCCCTTAATATCCATACATTATCCAGCGTCTTATTTCTC